ATATATATATAATGATTAAGTAGGCTTCATCTCAGGGATGCAAGGATGGTTCAATATATGCAAATCAACACATGAAACAGAAGAGAAAACAAAAACATACGATCCTCTCAATAAATGTAAAAAAACCTTTAAGAAAATCTAACATCCATTTACAATAAAAACCTTGAAGAAAATAGGTATAGAAGGACCTTATCTCAATCTGATAAAAGTTGTTTATAACAAACCAATTGCCAACATCATATTAAATGGGAAAAGCTGAAAGTTTTACCTCTAAAATCAGGAATAAGACACTCTTGTTCAATATAGTACAGGAAGAATTAGCCAGAACAATCTGGCAAGAGAAAGAAATAAAAGGGATACATATAGGAAAAGAAGGCAGCAAACTGTCATTATTTGTAGATAACATAATTCTTTACATAGAAGACCCCCAAAATTCTAGTAAGACTATTAGAATCAATAACCAAATTCAGCAACATATCAAGATAAAAAAACAAAAACACAAAAATTAACAGTATTCCTGTACATCAACAATGAAGTCACCAAGGAAGAAGCTAAGAAAATCACATTATTCACAATAGCAGAAAAGAAAAATTAAATACTTCGGAATTAACCCAGCAAAGGAAATAAAAAGACCTCTATGTTGACAACTACAATAATGTGAAAAAAAGAGATCAAGAAGACATAAAAAAAATGTAAAGACACCCCCTGTTCCTGGATAGACAGAGCCAACCAATACTGTTAAAATGGTCATAGTAGGGCCGGCGAGACAGCTCAACAAACTAAATCCCTGCTTAGGCAAGTGCAGGGACCAGGGTTCGATCTCCGGCACCATATGCCCTTCCGGCCCACCCCTGGGTGCGCTGAGCCGGCAACTAGTGTAGTGGTGTATGCCTGTAATCACAGTGCTGGGAGGGTGAAAACAGGAGAATCACTATGATGAGTCCAAGCTGTGTAGTGACACCTTGTAAAAACCAAATACATAAAAAAAAAAAAAAAAAAAAAGCCATAGTATCAAAACTATGAGATTTAATTCAGTTCAATCAAATACTAACAGCATTCCTCACAGACCTGGAGAAAATAATCCTAAAATTCATATGGAACCAGAAAATACACAGAATAGCAAAAATAATCCTCAGCAATAAGAGCAATGCAGGAGGCAACACAATCCTGGATTTCAAGTTATATTACAAAGCTACAGTGATAATACAGTATGGTACTGGCACAAAAACAGACATGTAGATTAGTGGAACAGAATAGAGGAAACAGAAAAAAATCCCAGCCACATTCAGCGATCTAATCCTTTGGCAAAGGGGTCAAAAACACATTAAAGAAAAGATAGCCTCTTTAACAAATGGTATTGGAAACACTGGTTATTTACTTGCAAATCACTAAATCTGAACCTCTATCTCCTATGATGCAAGAAACTAAAATCAAAATGAATCAAAGACCTAAATATTAAAACAAAAACAATGTGCTGGAAAATAAAATAGGTAAAGCTCCTGAAGACACTGGCATAGGCAAGGACTTTCTGAATAAATTGTATTTGCACAAGAAATAACATCTAGAATGAACAAATGGGAGTGTGGTGATGTATGCTTGTAATTCCAGCACTTGGAAAGTCGAAGAATGCATTCAAGGCTGGCCCGACCTACACAGCAATATTCTATCTCAAACAACAACAATAACAACAACAAAACAAACAAAAAACCCAAAACACCACTATAAATCCCAGCACTCAGGAGGCTGAGGCAGGAGGATCCTTGCAAGTTTGAGACCAGCCTGGCCTACAAAGTGAGCTCAGGGCCAGCCTGAACTGCATAGAATTAACAAACAGTATTATATCAAATAAAAACCTTCTGTAAATCAAAGGAAATAACCAACAGAATGAAGAGATAACCTATAGAACGGGAAAAAATTTGCTTACTACTTCTTAGAGGACTAATATTTAGAATATATAAGGTAAAAAAAAATTATACCCTCCTAATAAAAGATCCAATCAAGAAATGGACAATTGTAATGATATACTCTTCTGAGAAAGAAGTACAAATGCCCAATAAATATGTACATGAAAAAATGTTTAAAGCAATTCTGAGATTTTATCTTACTCCAAAGGACGACTATAATTGAAAAGTCAAATAATAATAAATGTTGGCAAGGCTGGAGGTGGACGGGGGCGGGGTGGGGGGCTGTACATCGCTGGTGGAAATGTAAACCAGTACCACCTGTATGAAAATCAGTACATATGAACGTCAAAAACTAGTAAGAGAAATTCCAAGAGACCTAGCTATTCTCCTAGGTAACTTCCAAAAAGAGTTAATGAGAGGTCCGGTGAGTGTGTGGAGGGCTTCCTGCTACCCTGCGCTGGCCGGACCAGTCCCAGCCCAGGCACAGCGTGGGC